TCGAAGTAAGTTTGATCGTGTTCGATATATTTTAGAAAACAGAAGAACTGCAGCCATTTCACCCCGTTATGTCTAACGAGTAGTTATTTTATATTTGATTTTGACTTTCGATAGGTCTATCTGGTCAGTACTTTATGTTGATTCACTATTTCTTCTTAATTTCCTTGTATGCTCCCATACCCTCTTCCATTTGCATAATTGGTCTTGTAAATTGTTATGAAGTTGTCTAGAAATACAAATGATATGGAATATAAACCATGTTAGCAAATTAGGAACACATTTTAACTAAAATACAGGAATGGGTGATTACTACTCTAAAACCAAAAAAAAAAGCAAAAAAAAAAAAGTTTACTTCATATGAATATAAACAGTAAGTATTGTCCCCATAACCTCTCTCGTTTTCGGTGTTTTCACAAATAATCAAATTGAATTAATCGAGGTAGTTGATGGTACGGACATAATAATTTGAGGGACATCCCGGTAGATCATACCAATTTCTTCATTTAGCATCTAAAAGCGTCTAACCACTGACACTAATATTAAAGATAAGCTTCTTGTAATGATAGAAAATAAATTATCATAGAATCTAACAAAACTTACACTGACTGTTCAAGGTTACAAATAAATGACATGTGCTAAACGATTTTGGTAGAAAATCTATAGAGGCTGAGGAATGAGCATAGAAAGATAAGGAAATAAAGGTAAGTATAGACCCGACACCATGTGCTTAACAAAGGTAACTATGTGAAAATGGGAGTCATGGTTTTTATTGAAGATGATTTCCTGCAAGTTATTGTCAGTTTGTTTTTATATTTACTGGTTTAAACAATCAATCTACTGCAGGATTAACAACCCAGAATGCTCTCTCGACATAAGATTCCCATACCAGAGCTCAAGATTAGCTTTTCGTGTTTTTTAAATTAATGATACATTTCTCACTTTTATAATAAACAGGTATTTTCCTGATCAAATGATATGGCTAACATGTTTTATATACTCCTCGGTCCCCATTTTCTCTCCCCCCCCCCTCCCCTCCCCCGCTCTTTCCCACCGCTTTCTCTCTCTCTCTTTCTCTCTTAAACACGGACACATACACTGTCTACGCGATCTATTTTTCTCTCTCACCCCATCTCATTTTCTCCCCTATTCTCCTAATCTCTCTCATATCATATTTACGAAGTTCTATCACTATTCACTATGATTCATGCACACGCACGCGCCCGCACACACACGGATACACGCGCGCGCTCAAACGCACGCATACACACACACACACACACACACACGCAGAAGAACACGTGCTATTTTCTTTGCCATATTTCCATCTGTCACCGTACCCCACCCCTTTCTTCCTCTCTCATTCGCTCTTACTCACTCCCAAACGCGCACACACGAGGTAATAATCAGAAAAATCACAGGTCGTTTTTTTATGAACTCAACCAACATATGAACTCGATTGAATGGCGACCTCTCTTGTCAGAGATTGCTTAGATCTCGCATTTTCAAGAACATTTTATTTTAAAGGGCCCCTCTAACCCAACTAACATAGCCTTTCGAGACATGAATACACCTCTATGTATTAATATTCCAGCCTAAGATTTTTCAGAAAATCTCTATATTGACCAGAAAATGATTTCACAAAAACATCCGTTTTTCACAAATCTCAGACTTGCTAAGCTCCACCCTCCGAAAAAAAAAGAGATAAATACGGTCATGTGGCTTGATGGCGCATTTTTCGTCATTGCAGGAATGTCCTTGTATTTGTACTACAACTAAGGATTTGACAATCTCATTGTAGTTCATAATTAGGAATGACGAAATGGCCAGAAACGTTCTGGGATATAATCAAGTTCATTTTAATTTTCGGATAAATGTCTCCTTGGCAGCCTTGCGTCATTTTCCTTTAGAACAAAAACTATCAAACGAGTAGGCAAATAGTCCACGTTGTTTATTATTATCCTTATTTGGGGGCATTCGTGCGTTATGCTTGCGGCTTAGTTTCGTTTTTTTTTCTTCAATTCTATCGCTGGGATCTGCCGAAACTATCAAACCACCAAGAACATTGGGATGCAGAAAGTGAGGAGAATACTTTGAGGGGTGCAGCTGAGAAAATGAAAAAAACTGAGGATAATTTCCACTTAGAATGCTAACTGTTATAGGCCTCGATAGATTCAGTTGTCAATCTGATACTCACTTTCAATTTCGCCGTACGTTCGCCTGAACTGGAGTACGAGGTTGTATTTAGTATAACCTCGTGCATTGGATGAGTGGTTCAGTCTAGACTAACGTTAGATCTGATCTATATTTTACCAGTCTCAGTTAGTTGACAATTTATTTAAGGACACAGACGACTCGTCGAGCTTTGGTGTTACTGGCCAATTTTCAGCGCTTTTTGAGAACTTTGAGTGTGTGACTATATTTCCGACTCTGGCGTGACTCTGGCGTGGAGATAACATACCAAAAAGATTTAGTTGATTTTTGGTTTGTTATAGTAGGGTATCTCCATTCAAGTGCTATGTTATGTTGTGTTATAATGCCAATGTTGTCTCCTGTATGCAGTGACGTCATTTGCTTTTGCGTCAAAAACTCTTTTACATGTCTAATTTTTAGATTTTACGCCCATTTTGATTTAATAGAGGGGCCCTTTAAATTGGGAAGCTTTGTAGTATTAAATATCGGCCAACTAAGGAAATGCCGTTGAAAGGAACTACACAGAAGTGACAAATAAGCTTTTGAATAGAAACTGCAACCCATAATAGTTGTCGTGACCAAAATTGAACATTAAGTAGCAAACACAAACAATATGGTACTCACATTTGCATGTACATGTATATATTCTAAATAACATTCAAAACCCAATGGTCAGCTTTAATAGTGGAAGTGTCTTAACTCATTCATAGATCCATATTTTAAAATTTGACTTAAAGGTCCACTGTACTACCTGGAGCTACTTGCTCCCTCTATATAGAAACAATGCCTAACGGGTGACCATTTGTCCCCCATGATTCTCTTTTTCTTATGTTAATTGAGAGCTGAGTTGGTTAATGGAAGTGTCTTAACTCATTCATTGATCCATATTTTAAAATTTGACTTTAATAAAGGTCCACTGAACTATTTGAAGCTACTTGCTCCCTCTATAAACAAACAATGCCTAATGGGTGACCGTTGATCCCATCATCCTCCTTTTCGTATGTTAATTGAGAGCTTAACTGATGAGATAGTCACCTGTCAATGACCTTCCTGGGTGGTCTAATCCATCCTAGCCAAAGTAGTACAGATGAGCTTTAAAAAACTTCAAGTTTTGGACTAAAGTTTGATGGCACATGTTTGTGTGTATAGTATCATATACCCAACGACGTGTCTTCTGTTTTTCAGTGTTTGCCGCATATTCTTTTCCTGGCTTATTTCGCCAAAGATACAGGGCTAAACTAAGAGTTTGAGTTAGGATTGTAATTGAGTTTTTGGTTTAGGTTCAAAGTCAATATTAGAATTACGTATATTGTTGGTCAAGATTAATTTTTCGAAATTGAATTGAAAATGGCACTAATTAGAAGGGGCACATGTCAAAAAACGGGCACTTATCAGCGATAAAAAGGGACACTTATTATATAGTTAAAGAGGGCAAATCGCAAATTTTACTAAGGACACTCATCGTAGATAAAAAGGAGCACTTATATGAATGAAAAAAGGGCATACAAAGGAAATGAGGCACTTGCAATTGTCACAATATTGAAGAACACCTTTCAGATTTGAAAAGAGACTAATATAAGACGTGAAGAGGCACTTATCAGAGATGGTAAGGGACACTTTTTGTACCTGGCAAGGGGCCACTAATCTGAGATCAAAAGGGACACTTGAGAGAATGCAAAGGGGCACTTCTTACAAAGGAAAATAGGCACTTGTCAAGGAAAAGGGGCACCTATGATATTTTAAAAGAGGTGTCAGAAGGGGCATTTATGAGAAAGGGAAGGGGCTCTTATTAAAATATAAAAGGGGCATTTTTTATCAGAAGGAAAAAGGGCACTTATTAGACTGGAAAAGGGGGAATTTGTCGAAATAAAAAGGGCATTTATTAAAGATGAAAAGGAGCACTTATCAGAAGGGAAGGGGTACTTTTTACAAAAAAAGGGCACTTTTAAAAAATAAAATGGGCACCTCTCAGATTTGAATAGGACAATTATCATCGGTGAAGGGGGCAGTCAGGAGAGGTGGTAACAGGCAATATAAGAACGGGCACTTATTAGAAATAAGAAAGGGCACGTATCTGAAGTAAAAGAGGGCACCTATCCTAAGTATAAAAAGGGCACTTAAGGGGTACCTGAAAGAGTGGGGGGCACTGTGCCCTCCCCATGCCCCCGGCTCCGCCGGCTATGCTTTATATGTACGTTGACATGCAAGAGCTAGGCCGTATAATCACAATTAACTCATATCCTGCCATGAGACTGCTAGCGCGCTATTGTTATAGTGCTCTGTGCACGTGAGAGCGCTATCGATTGAATGCCACGTTCATGCTAGCGAGCCACCGCTACTCTGCTTTGTGCACGCAATGGCGCATATGTAATAACAGTCATTGTTCATGCCCATTGCACCGTGCTGAGTGCTTTTGCAGCACTATTGAAAGTACCATCGCGTGCATCAGATTATCGGCTTTGGATTACGCGTCTTTGTATACAACAGTCAGATAGGATTTTCTCGAGTAATTTAGTGATTTGTGATTTGTTTTTGTAAAGATTTAAATAACACGCGCTTGAACCAACCTTAAAATTAACTTGGCACACAGGAGATTTGTGGCTGGCACAATAGGAATTAGCACTGTGGCACTGAGTGCATTGTATGGGTGGCAGCTTGACTGTTATTACATATGCGCCCTTGCGTGCACAAAGCAGAGTAGCGGTGGCTCGCTAGCATAAACGTGGCATTCAATCGATAGCGCTCTCGCGTGCACAGAGCACTATAACAATAGCTATAAACGACCGTACATTATGGGCGCATGTACGAGGATGGAAACTTACTCAGACTTGTTGAAAGCTCTAGCATCAAACTGGGGATGGATGGTGGTGATGATGTCATGGATTCTGTTTATCGTCATATTCGGCATTATGTATTCATATGGGATTCTATTCGTCGAGTTTCAGGCTGAGTTTGAGAGCTCTGCGACACTCACGGGTAAGGTTTTCTTCTTTCCTTTTATACTTCTTTTAGTATATAGTAGTAGTTAACAGTATTGTATTATTATTACTATTATCGTTATTATTATTATTATCATAATTATTATTATTATTATTATTATTATTATTATTATCATTTTCATTATTATTTGTTATTATTAATGCTATTATTATCATTATCGTTATTTAACCTAGATCTTATATGCAACTATAGAGGCGGGTCTAATTAAGCCAAGGACGTACTTACACATTACAGAGGTGATGTCAACGTAATAATATACGCATATAAAGTTGGGGATACCCACAGATTACACTAGCCCTACCAGAACCTCCTGCTTGATCTTACGGCCCTGCTCTCCGGCCTGTCCGAAAGGCAGGTCAGGCCGGCCGGCTTTTATTATACTCGCAAGGTACCACCTGACCAGTCCCAATCACCCTTTATAACATACAGGTGCATGTGTTCATTCAGTATTGTCAATATTTTGCGTAAATGATGCGCTGTCCCTACACTGTAACATTTTTTAGCATTTGTTTACTTAAACATGTTTTTGTCCACACACAAATCCAAACACATACACTTACATATAGTGCTTAGGTAATAGTAGTCAAACAATTACAACACAGGTAAATTAGCACTTATTGTTAAACAATCAGTTTATCCGCTTGTTTAACAAACAGTTTTGTCTCTTAGTCTTACTGTACGTTAGATATTGAATGGTGTATCCGTTGTGAGATTGGTCAAGATAAGTGAGCATTTGTAGACACGCTACTGCTAACAGTTCACAAGCACTATTTTCAGAAGATATAGGCTAAATCGTTTGAGTAAAAGCACATACGAATAGGTCAACTGTTGTAAAATTGTAGGATGGCAATCTTTTGAACGGTGCTTAGAACTATTCAATTCAGAACTTTATTTCAGACTCAGCTGCACAAGGCAGAGGTAAACAAAAACATATGTTACATATAGATAGGGGAAAGAGCTGAGTATGAACACGATGAGTATAATCAGGCGCGGATCCACGGGCCGATTCTACCGGCCCGCCCCCCCCCAGCCTCCCAAACCGGTAAAAAATAGGATAGTAATTACGTAAATTTAACCTTTAATTTTTTTAGACGCCCCCCCCCCCCTGACCTGCCAGTGACACAAGTGCGGCATCAAAATATTTGTGCTTCTCTGACCGTACGCAAATGCCTAAAACCTCTGAGCTTCCTGGGGCTCCGCCCACTGAACCCCCACACTAATTTACGCTCGCTACCCTCTACGTGATCGTAAATACTTTAGCCCCCCCCCCCCACTTTGATAAACGTTCCGTGGGGCCTGTGTATATAATATATACGCATACAACACTGATAGCTAATAGATGTCAGTGGAATGTAAATCAAGATAAGTTAGGAAGTGATCACATCGCATAGAAATGCAAATCAATCTACATCCTGTAGAAGAAATACATGAAAGAGAATATACAAAACGAAACGAACCATATCTTAGTTACAAAAAAGCAGACTGGAAAGCATTTGAAACAATTATGCGACATAGAACTATCCAATATAACTCCAAATGAAAACACAGAAGAATACTACAACGAATTCATAAACGTCACAAAGAAAATTATGAAGGAAACCATACCAACAGTAACTAAAAACCATAAACCACACAATCCATGGTGGAATGAAGACTGCCAAAAGAGAATTAAAGAACGAAACAAAGCCAAAAATAAAGCCATCAAATACATGACGAAAGATTATCTCTACGAATACCTAAATAAGAAAGCCCTTACACAGAAAACAATAAGAGAAGCAAAAAGACAACATTGGAACAAATACTGCTCCAGGCTTTTTAAATTCACTCCGACTTCAGAAATTTGGAAAATGATAAAAAGATACAACAATATCTTACCAAAAAAAGAATGCTTACCAACACTAAAAGAAATAGATAAAGAATATATTACCGATCAGGAAAAGGTCAATAAGATAGCTGAAGATTAAAACATTACTGATGCTATATCGATCTTTAATAAGATCAATGCTAGACTACGGGTAACGGGATAACTCTCACTGTGGAATACAGGGAAACTAAATAGCGGACCTTCGCGCAAAACAAGCCCTAACTGAAGAGATACAAATAAATAACAAGTTATGTTTGTCTGAAATGAAAACAGTATTGAAAATAGAACTATACAAGAGTTGGGAAGAAAAATGGCAAAATTACAATAAAACAAACGTAAGACCTTTCAAACCAACAATTCAACATAACTTTGAGAGCACCCTTTTTAGAGACTGCGAAGTCATAATTCGCAGGCTCAGACTTTGCGACATAGGACTAAACGCAGACCCCTCAAAAATATGGGTATCCCAAACAACCCAACCTGGCCAAGCAAACAAAAATTGTAAATACTGTAACACCCCTGAAACAATAACACACTATTTGATGGAATGTCCAAATTATACAATAGAAAGAGCAATGCTGATAATGGAAAGTGATATAACGAGCCCAAACGAAATAATGAAACTCCTGAAATCAACAGAAAGTGCGACCCAGAGAGCACTGATCCGCTTCGTTCGTAGAACGAGGCATTTTGAGTGTTCCTTATATTTATTTATTTATTTTTTATTTTTTTTTTGCACATCGCACGACAATCAAATGCCCTAAGATGTTGATACCTACTTTGATAGAAAAATAAGGTTTTAAAAAATGGAAATCTGGATATCTGGATATCTACCCCAGAATCCTCTCACCGGCACCAGAGTTGCCTAGGCCAATGATGACCGAGAAGATTGCGGAATATACCGCGCCGGTCTGGTAGGAAGGTGCCTATTGCGGTGAAAAGTTTTCATGGACCAGTAGATCTGAGATTATATTATCCAAAAAAAAAAGGAGAGTATGAATTTACAAATAGTACCAAAAAAAAAAAAAAAAAAAAAAAAAGATGAAAGGCGTAAATATTCTAAAAAAAGATTGAAACGCCGATAATACCAAACAACAACAACAACTGATCTTTATGATGTCTTTAACGTGACATAACTTCTTCTCCACTTGCAAACGAGAAACAAAACAAGGTCATTAAAAGGGAATTAGCGACAACTAAAGATTGTGATTCAAATTCATGCAAATGTTTGGTTGAATAAGCACTGCTATTCACAAGAATCTTCTTTGTAAAAACAACTTTTACAAATCTCTGCCATGCTGACTGAGTTGAGACGTTCCATTCAATTCAAAATTCTCATTAAAGAATACACTTCTCCTAATCTGAAGGTGATCTTACAACACAGTGGCAGGATTGGGTGGCTGAGATTTGTAAAAGTCCTTTTTACAAAGAAGATTCTGGTGAAAAGCATTGCTTATTCAAAAAAATACTTGCATCAATTTGAATCACAATTATCATTTTGTCGCATGATCTTTTTATTAAATAACCTTGTTTTCTTTTTTTATTTTCAGGGGAGAAGAAGCTATGCCGCATTAAGAAATCAGTTGTATTATGCGTATATACATATGATAACAGAACAAAATGTTGATATCAGAATGTCATTTTAGAATACCTCTATATAAATACCCGATCTTATTGCGCTGATACCACGTTGTCTTTAGCCCGTATCAGTATTAGTATGAGCCAATATAAAGTTATTATTCTTTATTCAGTTCAGTATAATGCTTTTCCTCAAAAATACTCTCGCTATTTTGTTTAGTGGTCCTCCTCTCCAGCATCCCTCCCCCCCCCCCCCACGCTTTAATATTCACCTGCCGGCTGAGTCGGCGCAAAAATGTTCCCACAAAACTGGACCCCGCCCAAAAAACAAAAACAAAAAACAAAAAAATGTGCTCTTATCCACCCCCCGCTCCCCTCCCCCACCCCCCGCTCATTCCCCGTTCGCCGGCTGGCTGATTCGCCGCTAAATATTTTCTCAAGATTTCGGCCCCCCCCCCCTCTTGCCGCCGGCTGGATCCGCCCCTGGCAGTAGTAAATAGTGAAACCTGCTCCCCCCCCCCCGTCCTCTTTCTCTCTTAGTATTGTTGTTCCTTTCCTTTTTCTTCCAATTTCGATCAAGGTTGGGCAGGGTCAATACCCATAGGGCTCACTGTTCTCCTCGCCCCGCCCATGAACGTTATCATCGACCGTTTCGGCTACCGTCCCGTTGCCGTCATGTCTCTCGTCATCGCATCAACAGGGGTAGTGGCGACGTCTTTCGTACCCAACATGCTTCTCGTCTACGTCACATACAGCTTGATGTTTGGATGTGGGTCTGGAGCTATTTCCCTTGTCGTCATGAGTCTTGTCGTACATTACTTCCCATCAAAGAACTGTGTAAGAGCCTTGGCATTCACTCTCAGTGGCACTAGCATTGGTACATATAAACACCTTTATTATATTAATAACCTATATAGCCCAGGAGAATTAAGATTTCTTTAGAAGAAAGCAATTTCTAATCGTCAAAATGCTGGCGCCCCGTTTTGAATCGTCGGAAAGGGAAGAATTGAATAGACTAGTTCGCAATTTAAAAGTTCATGGTTAAAATGACCCGGAATATCCACTAATGTTTGAAACATTGAGAAGTCCAACTCTATGTATTTTAGAATAACTACTACAAAAGTTATGGATGTGCCCCATGAATACCATTTTGCCTGCCCTCTTGAGAATAATACTTCCACCTGTGTTTCATATAATGTGCAGTCGGTGCATGAATGGAAAATGATTACATAACCTTCATGGGGGCACCTATCCAGTAATCGTCTCGGTGGATTTACTATTCGGAACAACATATTAATGGCGTGCAGGCGCGTACGCAGGGGGGGGGGGGGTTTGGGGGGTTAAACCCCCCCCCCTTTGGAAATTTTTTGTGTGTAAACCCACCTAAAAAAAACCTAAAACCCCCCCCCCCCCCCCCCCCCCCCTTTTGAATTTTTTTTTTTTTTTTTTTTTTTTTTTTTAATTATTTAAAAAAAAAAAAAAAAAAAAAAGTTATTCCCATGGCAGACCTAAAAAAGGTGACCTTACCCCCCCCCCAACGGAGCAAAATGTCAAATTTCCAAATTTCGAGACCAAAAAAAAAAAAAAAAAGTGTCCTCTTACCCCCCCCCCCCCCCCCCCGCTTATTCAGCGGTTGGCTGAGTCGTTGCGAAATTTTCGGACCGATTTATAAATGTTAAAACCCCCCCCTTAAAAAATCCTGTGTACGCGCCTGATGGCGTGTATCGATCTCCCCATGCGCAGATTGTATCTACGAACTGGCGTATTGTAAGGGTGGGAAGTAGTTAGGAAAAATTAAATCAAGCGATTTTATTTGTTCAAAGAGAATTGAATTCAATGAAAGTTGGGCACAAGGATTATTGATTAGGCTTATCGATACTAAAATATTACATGCAGAATAACCTTTAGGTCAAAGGTCAGTAGTCAAATAAGTTGCACGAACTTAAAGATAAAGTTGAGTTATGGTCATGTGATTGCATTGTGAAAGAAACTGTGTAGAAGCGATTGGTAAAGGGTGCTGGTCATGTAGCACATAAGTATTGGTGTATTCTATGAGGTTTTGGAATCGTCACATAGTTTTCTTTTTGTTAAATGACCCAGTGTTGCTATAAGCCACTTTACACAGAATTATATATGAGACGACACAAACATGTGGCATGAAAGTATTTTACACAACCGAGCTCTTGCTGTTAGATGCACAGATGAACTTGTCATATTTTAAATATTTGAAGAGCCATCGTTTCAGGGCACGTTTATCTTTTATAAGATAATCTTTTGTACTATTGTTACAAGAATGAACAAGCTCACAAATTATTCTTCACATTTCCTAGAACTCAACCTTCTCTTTAACTTTGTATTAGACTTTGGATTATAATTTTTCTCGTTGGTAGAGGTCAAAACACAATAACAAGTAAAAGAAATATCCATTAATTGTTATGATATTCCCAGGCATGCTGTCCTTTGCACCATTTCTAAGATTACTCATTGATCGATTCGGATGGAGAACCACCCTTCGGATTATTGGCTCATTGTACTTCATCTTGGGCATCCCTTGCGTTGCAAGCTTCGTACCATCCTCACCTGATATAGCGCCCTCTGTAAAGGGCCAACAGACTGATGGAGATGGTCGTAGAATGAAGGATATTCAAACCTCGGTAGAAACACACGATGATTGTCCAAATCAGGATTCATCCACGCATAATAACGCAGGCGATAGTACTGATGAAAAGCATGGAGTCGTAGAAAAGTATTGTCCTGAGAAAGTTAGCTTGGATGGAGAAAAACCTAAAGATAGGCCTGTTATTTCAAGTAGTAGTCAGCACTCGTTGTATGAAGAGGATACCTCCCTGATGCATCGGCTGCGTCAAGCTATGACTTATCCAGAGCTATCGTTCATCAGTGTAGCTGTTATCATTAATGGGCTTGCAGATTGCTTCTATTACGTTAACATGGTGAGACATACACAAATACATACTAGCATGTCTAGCGCTATAAAATAGGAGACGGATTTTGTTTCTTCATAAGAATAATTTACTTCTTGGTGGAAAAAAACATAAGATCTTGATATATCGTAGTAGTGATCGAGAGATATCCACTATTAGACTTTTGCTCAATATAATTATGTTCTTATGGGCTTAAACATAATGTCCACACATGAAATCTTCCCAAGGAAAACAACGTTCTTTTAGAAATAAATATCCATATCAGACAGCATTATAATTTGTTCTTCTTTAAGGTTAGCTACATGGTATCTGTAGGGTTTACGGAGACGGATGGGGCACGTATCTTATCCGTCATTGGAGCGTCAACCGCCGTCGGTAAAATCACTCTCTCGTTCGTCAGTGAATGGCTCCCATTTCCGGTCTATTACGTCATGCTTATCGCCTCTGTGGTGAGCTGCGTAGTGATGTGCTGTTTTCTTGTCATCAAAAACCTCGCACTTATGTTCTGCCTAGCGGCTGGTAAAGAGTTCTTATTTGTAAAAGTCTTTCATAGGTGATTTTAGTCCCTTTTCCTCTCTTTGCCTCATCAGAGGATTTATTTGGTATACATGGTTTACATTCAAAGATACAATGTTATTTGAGTTTAAACACGCGTTAGACAGTGATTGCAGGGGTCTATACGCGCCACGTGAGAATGAAATCTTAAGAATGTGGCGATTCCAAGATGGCATTAAAATATTGGCGCGTTCGCTAATGATGTATATAGCTAGTGGTTCCAAACCTCAAAGTAAACAACTATTGAACTCTAGTTTTCAGGACTCACCCTTAATAATAATACAATATATAAATATATATATAAAGGTAGATCGAGTTTCCAAGTTTCCATCTGTCCAAATAGCAAATTATTAGAGGGCATACACTATGTCATACAAATATTTTGAGAAAATTAAAATAGCTTTTGTGTCCATCTGTCATGCACTTTCTTCTAACATAATCGATGATAACTCTCTTTCCTTTCAATAGTTATCGGTGGAGTAATGATAAGTACAACTGCAGTGGTGACTTATTCTATTCCTAGTACTTTTTTTGGTCCTGAACGCTCTCAACAGACCTGGCCTGTAATTCTTTTCTGCAATGGCGTCGGTCTAATGTGTGGCTCACTAGTCGGTAGGTTGAATGAGGGATTCCATAAATTCTCCGTCGACATTTTTGTCAAAGATTACTTGACCAATTTAGTTTATTACAACCCTGGTCCTAGAAAACTTGGACCTCAGAATAACTCCCTTCGTTAAGCCCGATTTTAAGCAAAGGTCTATCACCCAATGTCGGGGTTTTAAGTACAGAATGCGCCGCATGATTAAGGTTGTGATTGGAGTTTCGGTGAAAGATAAAACTAGTTTAGGTTTAGTGCTAGGGTTGGGATTAGGGTAAGTCGGGGGTTGAAATTGGGACCTTGGCTTGTCTTAGAAGTTGAGCAATAATCGTGAAATGCAGAACCTTAAAATGAATTATTTAAATAAATAGTAACCAAATTTAAGGAATGTCCAGCAAATTCCTTGTACAATGTTGTATTTGTAAACGTTTGCTTCGACCCAGTTGGAGATAACTGTAAATCCGAGTGACGGAATATCATAAATTTATTCAGAAGTAGAAGCGCTTGACACCAACTGTTGTCAAGTGTGATATCAATTGTGGTCAAAAATCTAAGACAAGATTATGTTAGATGCTGTTTGTAAGTGTCGGCTTGCATGGTGATGTAGATATACAGTAGACTTGCGGGTGCACCATGTGAGAGAGAGAGAGAGGGTTGAGGAGTCCTGAAAAGGCCTCTGACTCGGTAATATTTCTTGGGGGTGTGTAGTCCTGAAAATGACTGTTTGTTATCTTTCACATCTACATATTCTGAGATTTTCATGGTCGCAGCTACCATTATACGGCCGTAGGCGCTATTTGAAATTCATCAAAATTTACCGGGAGCACCGGTAAATTTTTATATTCAATTTTTCTCGAAAGCAGAAGTGTTTTAGAGACTAATTTTTCTAGTGCTTATAATACATCCACAGGGGCATCCAAATATATCCAAATTGTAAAGAATCACTATCCACCCAATTTTCAAAATTTCCCATAACTTTGTATTACCTTTAAGAAAGATTACCGAGTCAGAGTCCTTTTCAGGACTCCGCAACCCTCTCTATCTCTCTCTCTCTCTCTCACATGGTGCACCCGCAAGCCTACTGTATATAAGATTATGTTAGTTGTAGAAAATTGCTTCTGGGAATTAAATTTACTGTGTTAAGTAATTATGGCATTAGCAATAGGTATTGCAGCAGCAGCAGTAGAAGTAGTAGTAGTAGTACTATAAATAATTATAATGATCATGATGATAATATTAATTATTATCATTACGTATCGCCCACCCGGAGAGGGGCGCAGTTCTTGAAAAGGAAGACATTATAAAGAAAGGTGATGGCTAATTGCTAACTCATACCCTACCTGACATATAGCACTTAGCGTGCCATGCACTCTCTCCACACCGAGGGGTTAATGTTCTCTTGCACATGTGGCCAGTGGAAAGTTGTTGCTTGGGGGAGTAGGGATTATTCACCTTGATAAGAAGTTGTGTTCATACGGCTCGCACTGCCATATCCTGACAACACACTAGTATTGTACACATGGTGCGTCCACAATGGTGCGTCCACACTCCCTGTTACCATGGTACAGGAAGTTAAAGTTAATATAGACTTGAACAACTCATTTCGCTATTACAACTGTAACTGATTAAAACTAGAATATGTAACAATGTAATTTGGCGTAATACATAGTGACTGGCACATGTCCTTGGCTAAGAATATACATGTATATGCATGTAAGCAAAATGTAAATATACTGACAGCAATGAAGTATTGTTTTCTCGAAACTTACTTAAATGTTGTCTAAAACAAACAACATTAAAATCAATTTCACAAACTCGACAATAATTTCCTATCATTACTACAAATGATAACAATGTTATCATCAATTAAATTATCTCTTCCTATTACATATATTTCCACCCATAGTCAAAATATCATATAATCCAATATATATATATATATATATATATATATATAGACAAAGACCATCATGATATGATTATAGAAAAAGAGGAGCCATTCCTGGGGGGCGTTTCACAAAGACTTTTTTCAATAACAAATAACAAAAATCAGTGACCAATCTGCTGATAACCAATCAGAAGCAAATATTTCAGTAGCTTATAACACAAATTGTCATTTGTCACTGATGACAAGTTTTGTGTAACGCCCCTGGTATTTAGTTGTTGAATGAGGGCACTCTCGCAGAAGGGGGACTAACATGGAAGACGATGGAGCTAGATATAATCATGTCATTATTACATGTAGGCCTAAGTCAAAGATACCACCTAAAATGGGGGGGGGGGGATTCTGTGGGGCTCCGCACCAATAATAATTGTAACATTTGTAATAATAATAATAATAATAATAGTAAAAAAATTAATAATAATAATAATAATTATTATAATTATAATAATAATAAAGAGAAATCTACAGTAAAGATAATTAACAGTGGTGATGATGGCTTTTATATTTTCTGTAACATTCTTTCTCACTAGGCCAGTCTATTGATCGTACTGGATCATACAGAAGTACCATCTGGACTTTTATTGGATTGTACATTGTCGTTTGCTTACTTCTCATCGCAGCACCCCTCTACCAAAGGACATTTGCTCCCAAACGTTACGTCGTTCAAGAGTTACATCGAGTAAAGCACTTGGATATAAAGAAGAAGGGCGTTGAACAGGAAGATACCAGTGAAAAGTTTGCGGACATCTCAAAATTCAGTGGGACAAATTATGAAGTGGTATATGAACGCGTGTCAACGGTATAATAAGTGGCCTATATTTGTGTGCGCGACACCAATGGCAGAGAAGGCTTTTACCTGATATGCACGCCCACTTCCTTGCTTGATACCTACACCAACCAAGAGGATACTGACTCATGAAATTATACCAACTACCAAATAAATGGCTTTCCAGTACTGCTCGTATCTATTATTTCTCTTCGTTGAATCCTCTTATATGTCATTAATGTTTTCCCCACTCTTTAAACCTATTTATTATTACATGTACATTGCTATTGAAGCAATATTAATAATTTTCACAAAACCTTCCCCTCAGAAGGGCAACAACTTATTTTTGAAATTTGCGTTGAGATAATTATTGTCGTACAAAAGGTAATAGCAGAAAGTGAATGAAATCTTCCATCACCACACACATGTGGGATGGGAGCATCCATAAATGTGAATACATTTACTTGATTTACGACTTTGCATAGCTGAATAATTCACGTTATACAAGAAATGGCGATGCCCATTGTTGTGCTGAGTATTAAACTGTACATTATGCTAAGAATATCTTACTTTATATCTCTCCCAAACATTTTGTTGTGGAACCTTGTAGATTAGTGATTGTAAACGTTATACACAGTAGACTTTGTAATTGTAATTTTTAGAGTGTTATGCACTTAGAGAGCATATTATTATTTTGTTTTTCTTTTTAAATGTAAAGCGCTTTGAGCATGTTAATGTAAAGGCGCTATATAAATATCAATATGTATGTATTTATGTAGACAATGTAATTTTTTTTAATCACTTCTAATGTTCATTGTGTGAATATTTTTGTTATGTCTCTATGTACAACATTCGCCTTAATAAACAAAAGAAAAAGACATGCTTATGCAGAAAATTATTAGAGTTTAAAACTGGAAACTTGAAACTTGATTACATGTGCACTGTTGCTCATAAAGTTAGAATATTCATTTTAACTCCAATTTATGGAATTATTTTGACAATTATTTATTCCTAATAGATCTAGATAATAGTATACATTCTCAGATTTTATGAATAATAATTTACAAGTGTTTGTTGCACGAGTCACAAAAGGGTTTTCGTCCAAAAATATATTGTAATAAATCAAGGCAGATTTCCGTTCATAATTCGATTGAAAAATAAAGATTTTGTTTCCAGTGCACTCTACTATTAATTCTTCTATAAGGTATATGTCTCCCTCTCATGTTGGAATTACGTTTTGGATTTCTATAATAATTTTAATAATTATGATGGCATACAGAGAAACAAAATACATAGGTGAGAGAGGGTGAGCGTTGAAGGGGAAGACCAGTATTGGAAACGCCCCAATTTAAAAAAAAAATGAAATGAAAGCTTTTATTACCAATCATGTGAAAGAATAGGTTTTGACTAATACATGATAATAATTTTGTCGGGAAACCGCCTACTAAATGATATATTTGGTAAATTAGTTTATCTATTGGGCTGTGATAGATATAACGCACGTGTCGCACACGTGTGCGTTGTCCTATGTACATCTTTCTGTGTACGGTGCTTGTAACTTTACCAAGACTGGGCCAAATTCTTATCATTTTGATGATTCCAGAACCTTGCAGCACACACCCATATTTATATGCTAGATGATCAACCTTTTCTGATCGATTCCACAATTTCACAATGCAATCGCATGACCAGAACTGATCTTTATCTTTAAAGAGAGAGGGAGAGAGACATACATACAGACAGAGAGACAGAGAGACAGGCAGGCAGACAGAAGCAATTATTTTTGTGCACTCAATATTTCTACCTCCACAAGTGGAGTGGTCTATAATATGGCATAATCTTCAAAGCGATTCGTCAGTATGGCGTTACTTAGCAACAAGAATGTATTTAATTCATGATGTATTTAGCAGGTGAACGGAGTTATTAATCAATCAGAAGGGAATGGGAGAGGGGTCCTTTGGGTGTGGGAAAATACTTTGAAAGATAACGCAGTATATATTTTGGTAACAAAGTAAAATATAATGTATTCGCAACAATCGTACGATGATGAATGGTTTGATAAAAAAGGATAAAAAAGGGTAAACTGAAAGTGAAAGTGAAAGAAATGTAGAACTATTTTTGACAGGTTGATTACGGGAGCTCAGGGGAGGATCTAGAGGGTAAGGGGGGGGGGGGGGTTAACCACGCACCCCCCCCCCCCCCTTGGGCTTGCACAAAAAAGTATGATTTTTTTTTTTTATGTCAGGGCAATTCTTATTTTAGTACTTTATACTCCCCCCCCCCCAAAAAAAATATATATATTGGACGGCACTTTTCTTAATTTTCTAGTGGGGGGGGGGCGAATTGAAAACAAAAAAAAATAAGTGCCCACAACCCCCCCCCCCCCTCCCCTTGGTAAAAATCTAGATCCGCCCTTGGTGCTTATAAGAACGTGATGACAAGTAAGGAACCCTATATTAAAGGTGATACAAAGTTTTGGTATGGGGTCATGAATTTGGTCCAAATGAACAGCATATGCGATCCTACAATATTCAGTGATCATTGTCGCGGTTGAAATCGAGTCTAAAGTTATGAAATTGTAAATAATAAAACTCTTTATGTTGTATAGCTACCTCTCAATGTCAAGATATTGATTAGGCTATAAACAATGTTTCTTGACTAAAATCGACCGATTAGCTATTTCCGTTTGGAAATTATATATCACAACTACATATTCTAAGATTTTCATGGTCGCAGCTACCATTGTACGGTCGTAGGCGCTATTTGAAATAAATCAAAATTTACCAGGAGCACCGGTAAATTTTTATATTCAATTTTTCTCGAAAGCAGAAGTGTTTTAGGGCCTAAATTTTCTAGTGCTTAATGCATCCACAGGGGCATCCAAATATATAAAAAAAAAAAATTGTAAAAAGTTACTTTCCACCCAATTTTCAAAATTTCCCATAACTTTTTATTACCTTTAAGTGAGGAAAGGAGAGGAGAATAATGCCTCAATTTATTTTAGGAAAACGTAAGCAAAATTGTCATATCTATAAACGAATGAATATTCTCTACATTAACGAAAGACAAAAATAATCAACTCACATAACAATCGCCAGCTTATTGAATTAGCGAAATGAAATGTTAAACAATTAAAAAAGAAAAGAAGAATTTTCTCAATTCAATTTCAAATTGGCAGAAGAGCTAATGCCATCAATGCACGCGTTTCATATGTTAATCTGTTTAAATTTAAAAGTGTATCGCATTTTCTTCCTTAAGCAGAGCTCAACAATATTTTGTTTACGTTATCTGTGCTCAATATAGTAGTTAGTACTGGAAGGCCTACATTTCCCAGGTGTCATTTGAATATTCTCAGCTGCATTTTACATGTACTCTACAAAATCAAACATAATTTTGAATATTCCCAGCTGCATTTTACACGTACGCTACGAAAAAAAACATAATTTTGAATATTCTCAGCTGCTTTTTGCATGTACTCTACGAAAACAACCAACATTTTTAATAATGCTCAGCTCCTTGCTAACTGCACCGATTCCTTGTTTAGTTCGTTGTCACACATACTTAAATTTCGAAAACCGGGAACCGCTGTTTCTATTACCTACAGCTTAACATTTGTAATGTATCAATAAAATCATATTTGAAAGGAAAATAATAGGGGAAGTATACTTACCATTTAGCAATACAAATAAGATGTTGCAAACAACATCAGTCGTGTAGTTAGTTTGACGACACATGCTCCCCGTCAATTCCCTCAGTATTTATTTCCGACACTATTTGAATCTCTCATACTATAACCAACTGTATATATAAACCTTGCCTAAAACCTTTATGCTGCCCTATAACCCGAACCTTATACTTGACGAAATAAAGCTTTTTCGTGTCATTTGTAGATGTTGGTGATACACTCCAACGCGGCGTCAAATGCCCTGGTGTATATTTCCGATACGAAGCGAACTTAGCTCTTATCTTAAAAACTTACCTAAAATTCCAATGCAGCCCTAACCCTAACTAAACTGGAAAAAATAAAGCCCATGTCAAATATCACTGGACCACACATCTGGTCACCCGACTGGTAAACACACGAAGAGTAACGACAGAAAAAAATTCTAAAATCCCAAAGGTTGAGAACATAGCGGACTGTGTTCTTTATCAGACGCGTCCTATTTTCAAAATGGGGTATAGGAGAAAATAATGAAAACATAATCCACAGGTTGGTGGTCAAATCCCCTTCCGCTAAGGGATTAATTGGCAACGAGCACATTAATTATCAAAAGATTATTTGGTATACACAGCCATTTAAAAGTTCACCAACCAGGCAATAATTTCGATTTACACAACACCGTGAAGTAGGCGAGAGTGTATGATATATATATATATATATACAGTGCGTCCCAGATTAATCGAAACCGAGAATTATCGATGTTTTATCATAACTTAATCACAATTACAATTGATAAATGACACATATTTTAAAAGCGTAGATCCTCCTCTTTTATTTGATGCAACTCATAATCATGCATATTCCATGCATGAGTGATTAAAATCAATTTGAAGAGAAGAAGCCGAAAAGTCGTTTGGCGGGCGATATCTGAATTTCAAGGAGAAAATCAAATTTCTAGAAATGTGAGTTTCTGCCCTTTCATATGACACCTCATTCAGGAAAAATGAGCTAGGAATAACAAAGTTCTGTTTGTTTAAAGTAATGCTTGCATTTCCATAATTTGATTAAACGAATTCGTTTTCACTGGCTGCCTGCCGTATCAGCAAACGAACTTCACAAAAGACTTAACTCCGTTTCGTTGACAATCAGCCGTAGACGAAAGACTTCATGCATGGCTAATTGTCAACGGAACGGAGTTAAGTCTTTTGTCGATTCTGCTTTTTGCTACGGCAGGCAGCCAGTGAAAACGAATTTGTTCGCTAAAATTATGAAAATGTTAGGGCTACTTTAAACAAACAGAACTTTGTCATTCCTTGCTCATTTTTCCTGATTGAGGTGTCTTATAAAAGGGGATGCAGGAACTCAACTTTCTAGAAAT